TTATAATATGATATAGTAAAAAATTAGCTTCCATCGACTTCATATGAGGTATTAAAATATTTTTTCAAAACCCAATAACGACTCGGTTGAAAGGTAAATTGGTACAGTTCACTTAAAATGATATAAAATTTCACAGACATCAAAATCACATGATTTCAAATTTATTCAGTAATTAATCCATGATACTATCAAATCCAATTGTTTCATCTAGAAATTCCAAGTAACGATCGAGTTATGATTTTTTGAAATCAAGGCAGAAGCTGGAAAAACAGCGACTCTACCCAATGCAGCTTACTTTATGCAACATAAAAATTATACCGACATCGGATTGACATGATTTCAAGTTCATTCAGTAGCTAACTTATGAAGCTATCCAACGCCACTAGCTTTGTATAAAAATATCAAGTAACGAAAGAGTTATAAATTTTTAAAAACGGGGCAAAATCTGATTTTTTTGAAGAGACGGTAAAACTTTAAATCGCTAATATATTTTTTGTAAATGGTGATTTGTAAATTTATTCACATATCTACTTTCAAATATAATTTATTCATAAAGAATGTTTGTAGAATATCACACACGACATCCATAGAAATCTACTGGTTCAATTCAGATATTCGTTCAGGTATTTAACTTGAGAAGAACCGTCGGGTTTGGTTCGAGTTCGGTTCGATCTGTTCGGTTCAGGAGATTTGCCCAACGCTAACTCAATTTACTCAATACAGGCAATGGGTCAACTTTTTTCGTTAATTGTACAACCTTTTAATATCATGCAAGCCATACCGTAGTGTATTTTATTTCGCAGTTTGTCTGTTTGATTGTTCTCACTTTCATTTTTCTATTGAAATTGAACCTTTTTTTTTTCCTCTCCCAATACTAATTTTCTTTTTGTTGATAAATAAAACATGCCTCCTTTTAGAGTGAATGAGCGAGACATGAAGTACAATGTGAAACAAAGTTCGATTTGATGCAATGTGTTTTGTTGTTTAGTAGTAATATTTGTAGATTCACGTATGGACACCACAAATTTTAAAATATGTTGTAATTTAGTTAAAAGTATAGACAAATAAAAGTAATTCAAAAAGGCTAAGACCTCGTAAAGGTTTATAATATTAAGCTCTTGTTTGGTGTAGATTAAAACCAAATTATTAATAAAATTTGATGAAATGCATAGTTGAAAAATTGTACACCTATGAAATATGTTATTAAAATTAATTCTTGATTTTAATTTGAAATTAAAATCAAATTTAATTCATAATAAAAAGGGTTAAGCTTCTCTATAAAATAAGTTTTACAGCGTTTAGTACTCGATCATATTTAAAACCTCCTTCATGGTTGTAGTTTAGTGGATTTATTTGGGGGGAAGAAGAAGCTCAGGAGTTTAGTCATAACTAAAATTAAATTAAATTATAAGTAAGTAGGTTTACAAAATAATAATAATAATAATAATATTTTAAATATTTTTTTTTTTTTGAGATTGAGGTAATTAAGCCTTACTATAAATTTATCCAAGAATCACCAGACGGATTAAGTAAAAATAAAATATTAGATAGTGACTATTTAAATTGAGATTAAGCCCCCGTTTGAGTTATCTTATTGTAAAAATGAGAATGAAAAATATAGTTATTATAAACCTCACACGAAATAAAAAATCAAATATGGTGACTTGATGTAAAGGATAATAGTCATATTTTTCATTTTAATGAAGAAATAATGGAGCTCAAATAAAACTAAAATGTTTCCTTGAAAGTAAAAATATTCCAATTTTACTCTCTTTTGGTCATATCTAATAACCGTGAAAGACGAGTAAGCTTCCAAAGAGGTTGCATGTATCATTTACGTGTTACACCATGGGGACAGGCCCCTGCGTGGCAGCCCCCCTATTGGGGGCAGGGGCCTGTGCAAGCAGTTTAACCCACTATTTACACTCCTCGAATAGCATAGCATAAGCATATGCTAGGTGGAGGATGTCTTCATGATGCTGCCTTCCCAATACTGAGCAAGTTCCATCCACTGCAATTCAATATGTAAATCGTTTCTTTATTAGTTTGTGATAACACTCTTTACAAATTGTTTTCCAACAAAGTTTACAATTATTTCAGCCCACAAGCGGGATTACCCACAACATAACGTTCCCCACAGCCTTTTTAGTTCATGCAAATAACCAAATATATATATATATATATACCATAAATTTGGCAGGATAAGGGGCCAAAACGCGTCCATAGTCAACTGGTTCTTGTGAATTCCAAGCATATCGAATTGTGGCATCAACTTAAGCCTGCCGCACCTGCCTCTCCCAACTCAGATCTTCGGAAAATTGTGTCAGCGCAGCTCGAGGATCACCGTCTGAGATAGACAAGTAGTACTGTGCAGTTCCATCATCAAAGTGCATGCTCCTCTTCAAGGAGTCAATCACCTTTCTTTTGGCCCGTTCAATGGTCAGCCTATTCAAAAGAGCGTTGAGATTTCTTTCAGGACCACCTTCAAGATACAGTACAGCAACTTCCCTCTTTGCATGGATATCAAGCTCTATGTAGCATACTGAATTAATGAGGATATCTGGTTGCCTCACCGGAATCAGCAGCCTCTCCCTCGAGTATATCCCATGCTCACTCATCATGTTATTTAAGCGTTTTATATCCATAACCTGTTGGAAGGAACAAGAACATAATTTTTGTACTTTCTTCAATGGTATTTGAAAAAAGTAACAGGGGAAAATAGCATTGGAGGTATTATAAGAATTTTCCTCTAAACACAACTTTTTGGAGACACATTAGGTAACAAATCAATTCACATCTCTGTGCAGTTGAAGGACACCCTGATATCAATCAGCGCAGACATCAAGTAGTGATGCATACCTGATCCGACAGTAATCACCACTCATAATGATCCATAATAATTTACAATTAATTATACCCATGAACTTCCATACGTATTAACCATGAACAAATGACTTTGAACTCTCAGTCATAAAAACAAAGCAGAAACATATGAATTTCATCTCAACAAATAGATGCAGCTAACTTAAATAAGTGTATATATTATTTATGCAGCATATAATTAACCATTCTATAAATGTTCCTTGCCCAATTGACATCTAGTGAACCCAAGCTCAATTCAAAGACCAAATTCATAGTTCTGAAACATCAAAAAATTCTTAAATATTCTTGTCAAAGTGTTACCTACAGCGCCTAAACTTGATATAGCATCTCTGGATTTGGCCTCAAAACTGTTTTTACTCATTCTTTATTCCCATCACATTATTATTTGTATCCATGGGGGAAAATAATAGTTTTTTCTCCCTCCTCTCTGAGAGGGATGACACTGGTGGGGGCACAACACAGCTTCATTTCAAAACCAACTTTGCAGTCAAGTTGAATATATAAACAGATCTTAAATTTTTCTTCATAGTTTAGTATATTAACCCTATATTATAACTGAGCAAAGCATACTGTAATAAAGTGATCTACCTATTAGGTTATTGTCCCTCCAAATCCCTTAAATGCAATGTGAAACTCGTTAATTTCATAACTTCTAACTCAAATTTTTAATCTTGCAGTGGTAAGATGAAAATCGTTCTAGCATCATTCAGCTTTGTAATACAACTGATAGTGAAATGAGAATTCAAAAATTTAAAAGAAACGTGAATGTGTACTCAAATATTGCATACCATGTCAATGCATGGACAAGAAATTGAGATCACATTTATTTACGTCATCATAGAAAGGTCATTTTGTATTTCCAATCTGACGGAGCCCAGAAGGGAAAGAAAACTGATTTCTTCAAACTAGTTTAAACTCTCGAGAAATTGAAATTTCTAGGAGGAAATATTTGTCCTGAGAAAGTAACCTATAATTTCATAGTCCAAACACGCAGATTTCTTCAATCAAGGCACCAATTCAAAAGAATATGTAATAGTTTTCTATTAAAGCACTCTTTAACTCCAACCAAAGCACTAAAAATCTCCAAAAAAACTCATGGCGAAAAGATGAAAACTCTTATAGCATCATTCAGTCTTGTGTCAATACAACAGATAATGAGATGAGAGTTACGAGAAATGTGAATGTGTACTCTAATATTGATTATTGCTTGCCATCTCATGGATAAGAAACTGTGAATCACAATGATTAACATCATCGCATATTTCAATCTGATAAGCAAAGATAAGAAAAGAAAATTGATTACTTATAAGTTCAAACTAGCTCGAATTCCCTACATATTAAATTCTCGAAAACTTATTTCTTACAAAAATAAACAAGCCCTAAAACGGGGGATTCCATCCGAAGAATACCAATTTCACTAACTCAAAATACTACCAAAAAAAAAAAATAATAATAATAAATAAAAATAAAAAATAAAAAAATAAAATTACCTGAACGGAATATTTGACAGCGAGGCTGGCGACTGAGTCCCCACGCGACAGGCGATGCGAAATGGCAAATTTGGAAAGCGAATTGTCTCTCCAGAAGCCAGCCGAGGTAGGGTTTCCAACAACATCCCGGAGTTTCCAGGGGGAAATAAAAGCCTTGATCTGCATATCCCTATCAGCGGCCACGGAGTACCAGAGCTTGCAAACGCAAGCCGAACGGGCCAGGTCGGCGAGTGACAGTTTCTCCAATATGGCGCGGAGAGTGTCCTTGCATAATAGAGCCGAGAAGTTAGAATTCATTGGTGAGATAACTAGATCGGTAGACGGTTGAGCTTCGGGCCCGTGGTGGTGGCCGGGATTGAGGGGCCGGCGGAGGTCCGGTGGGGCAACTGCTTCGTAGTCTTCTACCTCCTCGCAGCAGCAGCAGCCCATTTTCCCTGGGGAATTCGGTGAGATAGCCGAGTTGTCCAATAATTTTAAATAAATAGCCTTTCACCAAAACGAAAAGGACAAAAAAAAAAAAAAAAAAAAAATTAAAAAAACTTTATTAAAAAAA